CGGTCCCTGTAATTAAGGAGTCGCGACCCATTATTTTGCAGGGTTTGGGGATACAGGCAGATATCCTATACTCATGGGATCTGAGGCTACTATGTCGTTGGGATTTTGGGGCCCACAGGTAGGGAGTATTCCGTAGTTGAGGCTTTCTTGGAATTCCACCTCCAAGAGAACCAGGGTGCAGGGTTTAGGGTTTAAGGTAGGGCGCCCTTTGTGCATTGGGTCTACGATGGGAGAGCATGTCCGCTGTGGATTTGGCATGTGCGGCAGAGCTCAAAAATAGAAAACCTGAATCCTAAACCCCTAAACCTTAAACCCTGCACCCTAGACCTGCACATATCCACGGTCTTCGTCGGAAGCTTCTCACGGAATCGATTGCAAGCCATGATCCGTAAAACATAAAGCTGACTCAGTCCCGAAACCTTAAGCCTACAGCAAAACCACATATACCCCAAAGCTACAGTCCAAGGGTTAAAGGTGGGACCTTTGATGAGGACCCCTATATACCCTGAATATAGCAATTAAATACCCATTATACAGCCCATTGTAGGGTCGGGGTCCCCATTAAGGGTCCCTCCTTTTCCCCTTTGATATAATCTATTTCCAGACTCGACCAGCACCCTCGGGCACCAAATACAAGACCCCACGGTTTAGGGTTTAGGGTTTAGGGTTTTCTTATACAGCGTAATTACTTGGGGCGGGTTGGTAGCACAGTCCGAAGACAACATAGCCTAAATCCCAAGCATTGAAACCTCAACGCTACAACCATGACATACTAGTAATCGCAAGAGCGTGTTTGGCCCTGTTGGCTAAAAGTGATAAGTGATACAGTTATGTCAGTACTGTAGGATAAGACCCTACTTGTCGGGTATCAGCGGAACTACAGGTTAACCTTTTTGGCTATATAGGGATTCTCCAGGGACTATACTACCCAAAAAAGGTTAAAGGTTACCTACTCTACTACTAGGAAACTGTTATCGGACACGCAAGCTTCTGTCACTGTCTCCAAAATTTTCGCGCCTCTGAAAATCTGCGGGTGCAGTCTTCCCGGCAGAAGAAAAGTTGACCCACCCAGCGTTCTTCGTGATGCTTGGAGCCAGTAGTTGAGGGTTTCAGGCTCAAGGGCTGTAGGCCTACCTAGTAGGTTATATAGGGATAGGGGTCTCTAGCGTCTAGCGTCAGCTGTTTTATAAGGGGCTTGGGGGTTAGGAGGGATTACTTCTATGTAGCCTGCAGAGTCAGGGAATTCACGACCCAACCGAATGTCATGATCTGGTGTCTGGAGACGCAAGTATACAGGATGTTCATCTTAGATGTGATTGCGTGCGCTGCTGTGCGTTCCGCCCAACGCCCCCCCCCCCCCACCACCAAGTTAGGCCCAAGCCGTTCTGCAGGAAAGGAGGCAGACTTCAAAGTTCAAGGCCAAGCCGTCTCAAAGGGAAGGAGGGGATGACCATACGCAGGGACGATTAGGTGGAGTTGGGGGAGCGGGTGGGGACGGCTGGGGAACAACCACGAGCGGATAAGGTTTCCCATCGCCTGGGCCGAACGAAAACAACATCAAGCCATGGACAAGCGAGAACTTACCATTGCGAATGCTCTTGTTCTCGAAAGTTGGAGCCTTTGCAAAGTCTCCACCAGCCTTACCTCCGTAGTGATGACTGTAACAAGTTCAAACAAACATCGGATCCTATTGATCGAAAAAGCTATAGCCTACAACCAAGCATAACTTCACAGTCCAGAACCCGAAGCCAGCAAGGTATACTTCGACATGTGCTATGGTTCGTGCTGTCTTTTCTGTTGTGTGAACGGGGTGGGGTTTACGGGCTTGAGATTTGGTGAATTAAAGATTTCGGGTGTTCTTTGAGTTTCAACTTTCCGAGCTTTCGGCGACAAACTTCATGCCAATGCTAGCTCCAGGCCGACTCCTGGAATTAGGGGTGCATCGCCATTACCGAAGCCTTGGGTGAGGGTCGGAGGATGTAAACACACATCAAAAATCACAAAACAGGCATCTCTGCAAACTTGCAGCAGCTTGATCCTCGAATCTTGAGTCTAACATAGGGGCCTTAAGAATTAGCATGGGGTTTCGGGGCCCATTCTTACTATAGCTACATAAGGAAGCCCCACAAAACAGCTTGGTAATTATTTAGGCCCCAATGTTGGGGTACGTCAGAGTGTCGGGTGAAGCTTCAGCGGTAGAGGTCGGAAGAGATCCTGATAACACTGAGAGTCCCCTTTGTAAACCACAACCCTATTCCCCAGTTGCTGAGTTCACAAGGCCCCAAAAGGTGTAGACTTTTAGTTTTATAGTGGGTGTTACTATCCCAAAAAGTGTAAAGTGTATCCACTCAGCTACTAAGCCTTTGTAAACCACAACCCTATTCTATCTCTTCAGGCCCCTTACTCAGGGCTTTGTCGTAAGAGATCCTGAGATAGCATGGCGAGTTAACGACTGACTCAGGGCTATGAGAAGTTCAGGAATCTATACTGAACTTAGAACCCTAGCAAAAATCATAATTTTAGCTGTTTCTTAAAGATTATAATAACGAAAAATTAAAAACTATTTCTAAGTACCCCTAAGGACTGACTCAGGGCTGTGAGAAGCTCTCGAATGCCTTGATCTGCTCTACAGCAGCAACAGCCCTCGTTGAAGGGATTACAGTAGGGTCTTGTGTGTTCAGGGTAATTATGGTATCTTAAAGTGTCGGGTCATCCTATGCCGAAAGCCCACTCAAGTGCCCTGCAACCCTAGGAACTGCAACCCTGACTGGCCCAGTACCATGAACCCTTCTGATTCACGTCCCATGATACCAAGATCGTCAGCAACTTTTGGGATCACTGCCTGTGCCCGAGATGCTTTTAAAATCCAACCACCGGGGAGCGCTACCCCAAGTTGGTATCGATTGGATGGTTTGGGTCTCCATAGACTGGTAGGTGCTCATTCCGTACTACTCCGCGTCAAAAAAGACTCCAAGCCCTGAACTAAGAACTCCAAACCCCAAACCAACCCGGTTTAGGTTTTGGGGTTTAACCCTTTTAACTGCTACGGTATGAAATATCATCGGCTGTGTATGTTGGACATCGCTGCAGATAAACAGCAGGTCAGGAATCCATGTGGTTTGCAGCGAGCAGATTGGCAACAGAATTGAACCTGGAAAGCTAGCTTTGGTGGTATAGTGTCATGATTTATATTGATTTAAACAGTGCGGAGGGGAATGTTGTTGCCAACTATTTCGGCTTCTAGATTACACCCTAAAACGCATTCTCAACTTGCAAGACATCCGGCCTTTTGGACGAAAACCCAACCTTAAGGGTCCAAGTGCCGAATCATCATATACTCTGCAAAGTAGTAAGCTACATAACTACTGCCCCTAAACCCAAGCACCTAGTTATCGGGTCCTATAAACCCTTGTGGCAAGCTTTAAAATGACAGCACGAGCGATCTTTCGCCTGAAGAAGGGGCTCTTGCCACTCAAAAGAAGCCCATCGTGTTCAGGGTTTTGGGGGTTTAGGGTCTGTAGGGCTTAAGGTTTAGGTGTTGAGAGCAAGGTGGCTTAGGGTCTATTTTGGGTTTGGGGTTTACCAGGACCACCCAAGTACTCTTCCTTTGCTCTATATTTCTCATTAAGAGGTACTTAGGGGCTACAATAAAGGGTAGTTGGGGGGTCTAGGTAGAGCGCTGCGGTCTAAGGCTGACGGATTCTGATCTTGTTTAGGGTGCAAGTATCCAACGAGTGGGGTTTTGGTTTGGGTCCCAAGTACTACCTAGATACTGAAGGGTACTACCGTTTCGCGATTGCCTTCTTATCTTGGGAAAGGCTACAGACTGGAATAAAGCTTTCCAAAAACAAATACCAAACCTTCAGGGAACCACATAATATATAGGAAACCGTTCGAAGGGTATTATAGAGTGCAGGGTATGCTCATCGTAGAAGCCTTGTGTAGTCGGATCTTGACAACAAATCAACCACGCATTTTCAGAGGCACAACAGCCGTGACGAATTCCATCATTAAGTCCACACTCATCATCCAACCTAAACCCTGAACCCGCACATCTCTTACTACCCCAATAAGCCACAGGAATAGAAGGTTAAACTTTCCGATTCTTACTAAACTACAAGAACCCAGAAAGTTTAAAGGTTGGGTATCGGAGATCTAAGATCTTGAACCCTTAAAGCACCCAACCCGGCAACCGGGGCTGCGCAGAAAAGGGTCGAATCCATGGCTTCCTAGCCTTTCTGGAGCTCAGGGAGGACCCTTCTTTTCAGAAAATCCTGCAGCTTCGCGGATCTCCGCCGAAGCTAAACGACCGTCCAGCAAACCTTCCAGGCAATCAAGTTTGAATAATCTAGTCGCCTTAACAATTAGAATGAGGTGTTGGGGCTAATCATACTGTTGATGATATAAATCCTGCATGACCCGTAATAAGGAATATACCAGAATTCCTATAGTCTAGGGTCCTTAAGGTAGTGCAGGATTTATATCATCAACCGTAGTGTAAGTAATTAGAACAAGGAAACCCATAGTTGAACGTCTTCATGAATTGGATATGCGTTTAGGATTTGGGGTTTAGGGTTTAGGGTTTAGAGTTTAGGGTTTAGGGTTTAGGGCATAGGATTCAAGATGTGGCTCTGATAGGTTGTGATAGTAGGCTTGGCGACAGCCCAACACCTAAACTCCCTTCCTGAATCATCTGGCTAAGATCCTGGAATGCTGAAACATATCTTGTACCCCTAGGGGCTAAACCCTCAAGCCCATCTTATCTTGTTCTTCAAAGCACCATGAAACCTTCAAGAATACTTAATCATAACACCCTCTGAAAGTCTTACCCGCTTATAGTAGAAGCCCGAAAGTTGGAAACCCTATAATACGGATCCTACTATTTAGGGTACTATATCAGGGTCCTCTATTTTCGGACACTGTCATATTATGTACGTACCACCAGCAAGACCCGAAGTTATCATAAACCCTAGTTTCGTTTGGCGCTTCATTTATTGAGATTACCTGGCGGCTGCTGGGGGTTTCCTTTGGGGAGGCAGTCGCGAGTCGTCGACCAGCTTGGCTAATGCCTTTGGCGCCTTCTCGATGCGCCTCTGAAACCTGAGGGGGGTGGGTGGGTCGCTCTATGATTTTATTTGTTTGGAATATTTTTCATTCTTGGAACATGAGCAAGTTCGAAAAAATACTTCGTGGCTTCAAAGGTTTAGGGCCCTAAACCATCTAAACCCTCAACCCTGAATACCCTAAACCATCCTAAACCCCAAACCCTAAAGTGTGGGACGTCTTGGGCTCCTTGTGTTCTGTTCAAGGGCACGGGAATATAGGGCTCAGATTGCCTTCTTTTAGGGTTTGGGGTGTAGGGCCTTCTCTGTTTGTGTCGTTGGTTATCTTTGCTTGGCGTATGGGCTTTGATTTGGTGCGGCTTACCCTCACCTTCTACGGCCCCATGAGAGCCCCGGGTCCTTCTTCAGGAGCCGGAAGCATTAGAATAAGGCTCCGGGACTCCAGGGTCTACATACTAAACCTAGACCTAGCTCTGTCTTGACTCACACCCCTGCGATTGGGGTTGTAGGGTGTAGGAAGGGCTTCAGGGGCTTAAGGTTTCTGGCGTCCCATCCCAAGAGCCACAAACCTGGACCTCCGAAAACTCTCAACCCCTGAAGCTCCAAACCCTATCGGCACTCGTCTAAACGAGTAGGGCTTAGCGGTTAAGGCTTATAAGGGTTCATGGTTTAGGGTGCCTGAAACCCGAAAACCCAAACGGTCGAGAACTTGAACAGCTACCAAAACACCCTCCTGCTCTACCGAAGCGCCTGCCATTTCTAGGATCAGAAAATCGGACCTGCACACGACCCAGCAAACTATAATTATTCATACATGCATGAATCACAGACCTAACATACACAGTTATGCACACATGTCATGTTGATAAACCCAACCTAGGCCCCTCACGTTTAGAATGTGCTTGAGCCCAAAGCCTCCATAAAGGCTAACTTTAGGGGGTTTGGGGCCGGTGGTCATCCTGAGAGCTGTGAACAAATTGAGGTCTACATCCCGTACCATGAACCCTCGTTCAATTACAGTAAACCCCATAATGTTGGAAACCGGATGAAGGCCAAATACTGCTGGGATTCCCTAAAAATTGCTCTTAAGGATCGAGGCTGTTGGGTTTCCAACTTTTGGGCTTTTACTGTATTATAGTATTCAAGGCTTATGGCTCAGGACTTGCAGGGTGCATCATGGGTTCGCGCATGTATAGGATGTCAGGCTGAGGACATATCGGTGTAGGGTTTAGCGTTTCTAGGAAGACTCTACATTAGCTCCGTAGCGGCCAAGCCTCTATGAAGGCTAAGCTGGGTTATAGTACGCTTTAAAGGGACCACATTAGAGAACCCCACTATAGTATCCTCTAAACGGGTTTCAACCTCAACAACGGCCTAAACCCTAAACCCTAAATCCTACACCAATCCCAAAAAATCTCAAAAACGGCCTAAATCCTAAACCAGCCCTAAAACATCTCAAAAACGGCCAAGCGTCTGATTCAGAGTCCTGACGTGCCGTTCGTGCATCCGGCGATCCGGCGGCATTGGGAACTTTGAGTGCTCCTCCTGGTCCGAAACTCTGGGGATTTAGTAAGTAGGGTTAGTAAGGTGGGTTATGGGGATTATAATAGGGTTTCTAGGGGATACTAAGTAGACTTACTAAGTCAACAGGGCCTCCAAGTGGTCCGAAACTCTGGGGATTTAGGGGTTTAGGATGTAGGGATGTAGGCTTTAGGGATTTAGGGGTTTAGGATTTAGGGATTTAGGGTTTAGGGATTTAGGGGATTTAGGGTTTAGGGATTTAGGGTTTCGGGGATTTAGGTAGAGTTTAAGGTTTAGGGATTTAAGGTCGTCTTAGAGGGTAGAGATGGAGCGGAACCCATGGAAGTTAACACGATCCCCTGCCTTAGAACCGGGGATCCAGAATTATGTGAGTCGGTTGCAATTGTTTTCTTCGTTTTGTCGTGATGCTCTTGTGCTTTTTCTTGTTTGGGAGTGGGGGCGGAACATGGTATCAAGAACAGGCTTGGCCTTATGTGCCCAATAGCACACCGATTCTTCGCAACTTCCCAAGGTTGCCAACACCGCACAAGTAGTTTGCAGGCACGAAGTCGTTGCATTCAGCCAGCGTCAACTGGAACCACCTTCTTCAACATACACAATTAAAAGAAGGCGAGCATTCGTGCCACCTGCAGGAGTTGCCCACCCGCATGGCTTGCACAGGAAATCGAGGTCCGAGCTTGGGTAAAGAGCGAAGGCAATCCCCAAAGGGTCCTAAGTACCGGTATAGTAGAATGTGGGGATTCTATATCAGGAGTTACTATAATGATTTGAGAGAATATTGCCCATAACAATACCGAGGACCTTTTGGGATCTGCAACATCTTAAGAGAGACGCAGGGGCAAACGAAGAGCACGAAGACGGTGCGCTTGCCCCGACGTGCACGTAATATAGGGGCCTTAATATTTAGAATAGGGTTTTGCGGCCCTTTATGCTATAACTATCTTTATAAGGATTCGGCTCTCTTTATTTGTTCTAACTATTTCTTTCTGGTCTAATGTCTTTCCTGCGTTCGCTGTTTCGTTTTCCCTCTATCTTTCTCTGTGAGCAAGAGAAACCAAACACGAAAAACAAACAAATCACAACACACAACACAGCAAACACATAACTCCAATTCCCTGGGAAACGTCCTCTTACAGATTACGGTTGCCCTAGAGGGTCCTATATAACCACACCAAGACAAACGTCCAGCAATTCAGTGACTAGGAATTGGAGAACTTCAGGGGACACAAAAAAACACAATTCCGAAGACTGAAATCGTCACACACACACACCCCTAAACCCTAAACCCCTACCCTGGAACTCGCTAAAACCGATTCTGCGGACTGCCTTCCAGTGTTCGGAGTTCCACGAAGACCATTCCTTACTTCCACCATGCGAGAAGAAGACGAAGTTTCGACTTGCAGAACAGGCTTTCAGGGTAACAGGAGGGACCCTCAATAAGGACCCCTAGGTATATACCCTTAATATAGCTCTTATATACCCATCAAATAGCCCATTATAGGGTAGGGGTCCCCATTAAGGGTCCCTCCTTTTCCCCTTTGAGGCGTGTATAGGAGACTCCACCGAAACTAAATACAAGATTAAGCGTTCAGAATAACACTATCACATACTACAGCATACTACAACAGATCGACCATAACATACTATAACATACTATGACATACTTTAACATACTGTAAACCTACTATAACATTAGGCCTGACGTTGGGTGTTGCAGCGAGCTGAGGCTCTCGTTGGCCATCGTCATCATCCATCCCAAGGGCTGAACCGGGCAGTGAAGCCGTGCCTCAGAGGCCCCGAACTACTGTAGAGGCCTACATAAAAACCAGTATACTATTTTGAAGCTCCTTGTTGTAGTTCTGAGTAATTACATTTTTTAAGACCCTACATTAACTGGAAAAGTTTTTGTGATATTCATGTACAAAGGTGTGCATGTGCGCGAGCGCACACACACAGACGCATGATACCGCTCCGACGACTGACAGTTTTCTAAACCTCTACTACTTTATTTGATAGTGTTGCTACTGACTGCCATTATCTTACTTGTTAATAACTACTTACGCTACAGACCGTTATTCCAGATTCGCCAAAGAGCTTGTCCCACCACGAAGATCGTGTGCAGCTTTCGCAGGGCGGGTAAAGGAGTCCTTTTTGTGCGGCCTCCTTCGCTGAGTGTCACCATCCATGTCGTCCAGACCTTCGGGACTGGAAGGCCAGATAAATGTAAACCCCTCAGACAGGACTGGGCCGTTCAGATTTAGGGATGACAATGCTTCCCCAACCTGAGAGGGGATGTGACTTTCGAAACCCTCCGTTGGGGCACTTCTTTTGCGCTGCCTCCTGTTGCAGGTCCAATCGCATCAAAGACAGCGGCAGGAACGACCCGGGCGCCGCGAGAAAATGGCATCAGGCGATGCCTGTGCTGAAAACAGGCTGCTGTACTTTTGCATTATTTGCGCAACCTGCACCACCGCTAAAGCGGTAAATGCATTAAATTAAACTGCAAAGGATTGCAAAGGCATATGTACACATGCATATACGAGCATGTGTATGTGCATGTATATACATATATTCATGTATTATATATACATGTACAGATATGTCTGTATGCATGTATGTATGGATGTGTATGTATATACGTATGTGTGTGTCTGTGTATACACAGACATACACGCATGTACACATGCACATATACATGTACATACACAGATACATATATACATAATTAATTACACAATACATATATACATATAATACAAACGTGCGTGTGCATCTATATATATATATATATATATATATACACAAGTATATGTATATGTACATACATATTGTTCATAGATACATGTCACTATACATGAATACATATATGCATATGATATGTATATATCAGACACATAAAGACATATGCAAACAGAGGCTTACCCCGAATGTAAGAAGATCAAACCGTCTGCGTAACCCCAGAACCGAGGTGCATGTTTGGATGCATATTATTGGGATGCTCCACATCCTTGGCGGTACTCGCCCCACAGCCCATGGCGGTTGCAGCCCGTTTGGGCACGCAAGATGGACTCTTCTGTCACTGCAGTGCCCCCACCGGACAAGAGGACACTTGCAGCTTTGGAATCTTCGGAATGTTCCTAATGCAACGCCTCAAGGCGTCTATGCCTCGGGCCGACGGAAGACTCGAGCCCAGGTCTGCACGGACGAGCATCATCTAGGGGCCGTAATGACCATAGAATGGGTTTGGGGGATAGTACACACGAAATTTAATAAGGAACCCCCAAAACCCTGTTCTAGTTACTCAAACCCCTACATTAGGCAACTTAGGCCTTTTGTCTGCCTTTGTGTGTGTGTGTGTGTGCATGCGTGACGATGCATGTGAGTGTCTGTCTCGGTGCGCGCGCGTGTGCGCGCTGTGTCCCGAATGCACAACAGAAGGGATCCCCCAGACCTTCCAAAATCCCTTAATTAAGGAGTATACCTTAAATCATATTACGGATCCTACTATGATTTAAGGTATATTCCTTAATTAAGGGATTTTGGAAGGTCTGGGCCCATTGGCAGGTCCGGTCCGGGCTGTCAGGGTGGAGGCAGTTGACGAGGCCTTCTTGCCAGCAATAATGTGGTCTCCCGATTAAGAACCCGCCCCCCGTGAACATCCTGAATCCGCTTTAGTGACGGGGAGGGGGGGGGGGGTCCGCCTCTCTGATCATCTTTAGCCGTGGTCTAAGTTTCTATTTTTCAAAACCTTAAAACAAAAACCAGGACGGGAATTTACACTATGGAGGGGCAGTGTATTATTGTGTGCAGGGCCGTGCTCAGCTTTATTGAGGGGCCTGAACTAATCAATCAGGAGATAACATTATGAAAGCTACAACAGGGGTTGAGGATTCAGGATGTTCGGTTTCGGATTCTTGGTTTGGAGGTTTATGTCACGGCGCAGGGCTGAGTGCTACATTCGCGTTTTGCAAACAACACGCTCCAGTTTATCCGCGTTGTACGATTACACGTACATGTATACCAACACATGTTCATAATATGGGTGGTCGTCAAAATTATGGTCCTTTTTGGGGTCCTTATTATTATGGTACGACACCTAATATTTACGGTACCCAAACAGGGACCCTAATTTTGACAACCACCCATATGTATTCCATGCACGCGCGGATGTCCATAAGGTAGCAATATCCGCCCAAAGCCAGAACAGACCCTAAAGCTGAAACAAGTCCACCGAAGCGTAAACCCTAAACCCTAAAGCCCCTCAGCCCCTAAAGCCCCAGACCCTCAAACCCTACGAACTGAATTCAATACCCTCAACCCAAAACCCCAACCCCTAAACCCGGAACCCTAAACCCAAAACCCTAAAGCCCTAAAGCCCTAAGCCCTAAAGACCTAAACCCAAAACCCCCAAACCCTAAACCCGGAACCCTAAACCCTGAACCCCAAAACCCTAAAGCCCTAAGCCCCTAAGCCCTAAAGCCCTAAACCCCAAAGGCTGAAGCCCTACACCCGAAACCCAGAACCCTGAACCCTGAACCCCAAAACCCGAAACCCAAAACCCTAAAGCCCTAAACCCAGAACCCTAAACCCTAGAGAACCCGAGGTTCCCGGCTACGCGTCTGGCGTCGCAGTGTGTCGCCATTGGAAGTGGCGTGACTTCCTGGACTTTGAAGCAAAGTATAGACGGTTTAGGGTTTAGGGGTTCAGGGTTTATTTTCAAGATTGGTTCCCTTTAAATACCAGGTCCCAAAAAAGTAATGAAGTATGAAGTACCTATAGTCTCCATTGTAGTTCCTTTTTTTGGTTATCCAATTTTGAGGTTAGGACCCTATAGTTGAGATTTTGGTTAATCGAAAAAAGGAACTACAATGGAGACTATAGGTATGGTACTCCAAAGCCCAGCTTCGGCTCCGTTCCAGAGTCACCTCCTTGGGCTTCTCCTGCAGAGAAACTCGGTGGTAGGGTTTGGGGGTTTAGGGTTTAGGGGTTTGGGTTTGGGGGTTTAGGGTTTGGGGGTTTAGGGTTTAGGTGTTAGTTTTTTGGGGTTGGTGTTTGGGGTTTAGGGGTTTAGGGGTTTAGGGGTTCAGGGTTTTGGGTTGAGGGTCTGCACAAAAACTAGGCTCCTGAATAAGGGTGCCCTTTTTCATACTGTTTGGCTTTAAGAATGGAACCACGAGAACAAGGGGCAAAAGGGTACCACTGAGGAACCTAGAAAAGCCAAGGTGACGCAAAAAGCTATTGTTCTACGCACTGTTTGGGTGTGTTCAACCTTAACCCCACGTAACCTACCTTTTTAAGGACTTATATCAAGAAATCATATTAGGGAACCCTAAAAAGGTAGGTTCCTTGGGGTCCAGGAAGGGTCTAGAGGGCCTGACTTGGAGGAAGGGTCGGACGACGACGAGCCCGATGAGTACAAGGCTGAGGCTACCGGCAAAAGCTTCGCGCAGCTTGAAGATGATCCTGGAGTTGCTGCCCGCTGGGCTCAAGCCATGCTTGAAGAAAAAACATCCTGCGGTGCGCGGACACGTCAGCAAACTCAGCGTTGAAGTACTGGAAGTCGGGACCTCTGAGTGCTGATTTGCAACTCCCGCAGCCTCATTTGGCGGCCGAGCACGGGCACGTGCCAGTGGCACGACTGCCGCTCCATACCCCTTGGGAGCACAATGTGTCGGGCAAGTGCCCAGAGGCACTCGCCGTGTCCAGCGTGGGACAACTGTTGTGCCCTCTCACTCTGCACGGGGGTGCGGGGCGTTGGGCTAAGGGTGCACGAGGGATTCTGCGGGGTCATATCGGTCGGTTTTAGGGACGGGACTCAATGTTGTATTGTATATGGGCTTTCCATAGACCCTCAACGCCGGCTTGGTTTTTAAAATTGGTGAGACCGCTGAAAATACCATCAGCTTTGACCCCCACCCCAGGCCCCCGCTAAACCCTCAACCCTAAACACTACATTCACTAAATACCCCAAACCCCAAACCCTCGGGAATTCCTGGGCTGAAGAGTTTGCACTGAAGGTTCCCATCCGAAGGATCTTACCAAAGGCCGGGTTCTTGCTAAGGGTTTTTATCTTATAAGTTACCAGAATGCTGAAACCATATTATCTACGTTAGATCCTTTTTATGGTAACTTAAGTTGAATTCCTTAACAAGAACCCAACAAGAGCCTGTCTTTCAAGCATAGCATACCCGCAATTAAGGATCAGTAGGCCTGTGTTCACGGTTCCTGGGACATGGGGTCCTGGTAAGCTTTCTATTCTAAGCGTTTTCTGCTCCATCATACAGTAGGTCCTCGTAAACCGTACTCGTAGACAGAACCCAGCGCTTCCAGCGCAGCAGCAGCAACCCAATAAGTGTCAACAAAGCCCCCGCAAATGTCGCAATCGTACAAACCTACAACGACTAGAAGACATCATCCACCCTAACCCTAAACCAAATCCTAAACGTTATTCTTAACTTCTGAACACATCTCGGGGGTTGGCCCGGAGATGACCGCAAACTAATGTTACAGATGCGGCCTATTCTGGATACCGTTACTCGGCCTACATGGCTGAGCGGCAGAGGTTAACTGACTAATCTAAATCGAAAGTGCTCGCCGTGTGTCCTCCGCTTGGTTTAGGCTTAAGACTTACGGTTGTATAAATCCTGCATGCCTTAAGGCCCTAAACTATGGGAAATGGTATACTCCTTATTATGGTAATGCAGGATTCATATCATAACAGTATCAGGCATCCGAAGCGAGAATGCAAGAGCGAGAGGCACTGGAGCTCAGTGCGATCATTTGAACAGTTCCCCTAAGGTCCACAGAATTATAAGGCTTTGGTTATGGATAGTAGTTATTTAGGTTAATTAATATTTGGGAGAGTATATGATTATTAGGCACTTGGACCCTTAGGTTCACCCTTCCTTGTAGTACCATATTGGAGGGGGGGGTAGATAACCGACTACCCTAGTTCTCTCTAGCCCTAAGGCCTTGAAGCCTAAGGACCCTTTGTCCCTGCCCCCTTGAACCACTTCCTTAAGGCTATAACTCCCAAACGGTTTAGGGTTTAGGGTTTAGGGTTTAGGGTTTAGGGTTTAGGGTTTAGGGTTTAGGGTTTAGGGTTTAGTAACTCCCAAACACTTCCAGGAGCGGAATTGTAACACAACGAGCCCTGCCTAGCCCTAACCCAAAGTACACCCCAACAACCACCTGTTTAAAGCCCCAACGTGCTTCCCCACACAACGACCAGACCTCTACAGTGCGACTCATTTCAGCAGCAGCAATGCAGTAGGAGGAGGAGGAGGACGAAGACTACCCGTGACCCCAAACCCTACAGAATAGTAGGTTATGATCCCCCAAATTATAGGGTCTGACCGAAAACAGCAGGTTTTTGGATCCCCGGGTAGTACTAGTACTACTGCACTGACACCGGCGACGGCGACGACTGTCAGGCCTGTGAGAGGTGCTCGCGCACCCTCATGATGGAATTTGTTTGGTCCTGGGTCACTGTATGGTTAAGGGCTCAGGGTATCGAAGTTTCACGGCTAAGGGTTCAGGGCTACATGTGGCGTAATTATTAGTGTTAAGGGTTTAGGGTTCAGGGATGTTCAGGGTATAGGAGCTTGAGGATTAAGAGTTCCGGCCTACAGATACGAGGAGACCAACCGCCCCAAAAAATAGAAAGAAAGCCTGCTCGTGACATTGACCGAGGAAATACACTATAAACCCTTAAAACCCTTATCATAGATCCCATATAGCCTCTTTAACTACTATTTGCTTAAGAGCCCCCAAAAAATAAAAAAAAATATTCCTCATAGGGATAATATAGGGATTATCATTTTTTATTTTTTGGGTGGTTCTTAAGCAAATAGTAGTTAACGAACCCTTAAAGGAACCCCAAAACCCAATATATGGCCGAGGATCACTCACGTAGACCAGTCGGCGAGCCGCATATTTGCAAGCCTCCAGCGCGGAGGTTCTGGGGTTCAGGGTTTAGGGGTTTAGGAGTTAGGGTTCAGGGTTTAGAGTTCAGGGTTTATAGGGTTCAGGGTT